TGCACTGCTTGTCAGGCTATGCTGTGGCAGGCGTCCCATATAAAGTGGAGGAAGATGGGCATGGATGTTAGCCCAGGGCCAGTCTTCCTCAGCAAAAAGAGGAGGGTTGGCAGATGTTAGCTCAGGGCCAATCTCCCAAAAAAAAAAAAAAAAAAGATAAAATACACAAAATTCTTGAAAAAATTACAGTATACTACATTACCACTAAAGAATCTACAGACATTAAAAAGAAAAGGATGGGCCTGCCCCGTGGCTTAGCAGTTAAGTGCGCGTGCTCCACTGCTGGCGGCCTGGGTTCGGATCCCGGGCGCGCACCGACGTACCTCTTCTCCGGCCATGCTGAGGCCGCGTCCCACATACAGCGACTAGAAGGATGTGCAGCTATGACATACAACTATCTACTGGGGCTTTGGGGGAAAAAATAAATAAATAAAATTATTAAAAAAAAAAAAAGAAAGAAAAGGAAGTATGAGGAACAATTCCAACAAATTAACAATTTCAACAAATTTAAAAGATGAAATGTACAAAAACCTTAAAAAAATACAATTTTCTGAAACTGACATTAAGATGAAATACAAAATCTAAATATCCCATATATTTATAAACGAAACCAACTTTCTTATCAAAACTTTCACCAAAAGAAAACAAAAGACCTACTTTCTTATGGAAGAAATAATATAATTTCTACACAAAGATTTAAAACACAGGAGGGGGAAATACTTTACAACTCATTTTTTGAGCCAGCATAACCACAGATACCAAAAGCTGGCAAAGACACCATAAGAACAGAAAACTATAGACCAAAATCCCCCATGAACATAAACACAAAACCTTTTAACAAAATATTAATCAAATCAAATACAGCAATATATAAAAAGGATAATACTCCAGGAGTACAAGATTGACTTAACCTTCAAACTTTTTTTTTTAAATCAATGTAATTCACAATACATTGAATAATATGAATAATAAGAAAAATGAATGATCATCTTCAATAGATGCAGAAAAAGTACATGACAAAAATACTCAACTTAAAAACGGGCAAAATATTTGAACAGACATTTCACAAAAGGAGTTACACAAATGGCCAATAGGACATGAAAATATACTCAGCATCATTAGCTACAAGGGAAATGCACATTAAAACCAAAATGAAATATAGCTATATACCAACTAGAATAGTTAAAACTTAAAAAAAAATTGCAGTATTAATTGTTGACAAGGATGTGGAACAGCTGGAACAAATTCTCACACTTTGTTGGTGGGAATGTAAATGGTATAACCACATAGGAAAACAGTTTGACAGTTTCTTATAAAGTTAAATGTATCCACACTATATGATTCAGCAATTCCACTCTCACATATTCACGTAAGTAAAGGGAAAATGAGCCCATACAAAGACTTGGACACATGTTTCCTAGCAGCTTTATTCACAATAGCCCAAAACTGGAAATGACCCAAATGTCAAACAACAGATAAAGAGATAAACAATCCAGTGCAAACAAATATGGTATATCCATACAGTGGAATAATACTCAGAAATAAAAAGGGACAAATGACTAATACATGGAACAATATTGGATGTATATCAAAGACATTATGCTGAGCAAAGGACACTAGACACAGGAATACAAATTATATAATTCTGTTGGTTTATAACCCTAGGAAAGACAAATCCAAACTACAATGATAGGAAGCCAATCAGTGGTTGCCTGGGGTGTAATGAGGGGACTGGCTGGGAAGGAGCACAAAGGAAGATTGTGGGATGCTGAAAACATTCTATGTATCTTTTTTTTTTTTTCAACAAGACATTTTTGCATTGCTTGCTTTGGAGTTTGATTGATTGATTGATTAGTTAGTTAGTTAGTGAGTGAGGAAGATCAGCCCTGAGCTAACATGTATGCCAATCCTCCTCTTTTTGCTGAGGAAGACTGGCCCTGGGCTAACACCTGTGCCCATCTTCCTCCACTTTATGTGGGACACGGCCACAGCATGACCCGACAAGCGGTGCATTGGTGCGCGCCCAGGATCCAAACTCGGGCCGCCAGCAGCAGAGCAGGTGTACTTAACCGCTAGGCCACGGGGCCGGCCCCTATTCTATATATCTTGATTGAGGTCCTTGGTATGTGGATTTAGCCTTTTGTCAAAACTCACCGCATCGGAAGACAATGATGAAGACGGCCTAGATCACCATCTTCCAACATTTCCTCTCAAAACAATACAGAACAACAAAAACCACAGCCTTGGCAAAACTCAAAGACAAAGACTATCCAAACTTCAAAATAAGATAAATATAAACGGAAAACAACAAGTCCCGATGCACACTCTCTTGTCCTCTGGCGACCACTTCCCCACCGACCTACTCCCTGTCCCCTGCTCAACTCACCCCCCACCCCCATCTGACTCAAGGCTTGTGGCAAAAGCAGACTGGGAAAAACTGCAGAAGAGAGACAAGAGAACTAGCAGCAGGCATAAATATGATATACACTATTGGCAGGAAGACTAATTACATCCCAAATCTGAAAATACTAAAAAGGTGTCCTGGTAGATCAAAGCATGGGCTACATTCAATTAAACCTGGCAGACTTCAAAATGAGTAAGCTTCTGGGTGTGGGGAGGCAAAAAAGAGAGAGAGAGGTACATTTTGGTGAAAGGGAAAATTTAGAGTGCTGCAGACAAAGGGAATCAAACAGGTTTTCAAAGGCAAATAGATGCAAAACAAAACCCTATTAAGAGGCATTGAAAAAAGGTGGAACAACAACCAAGGGAATGAAAATGAGATAAAGAAATAAAAAAGGATCAGAGACAAAATAATGGAAAAGAAAAAGAAGTAAAAGGAATAAAATCCATACTATTGCAGTCCCTGAAGAAAAAAAACACAAAACGATGGACTAGAGCTAATATTTAAAACTACAATCCAAGAAAACTTTCCAGAAATTTCAAAAGACCAGAATCTACATATTAAAAGTGCCAATTGGGAACCTAGGAAAATTAAGCCAGAATGATCAATGTTTCACAACATATCCTAGTGTAAAACTATTAGATTTCAAAGACAAAGAAATAAATTCTCAAGGCCTTCAGATAAAAAGATCAAATAAATTAAAAACAACATAAAAATCAAGGCAATAATGAAGCAGTATTTTTTAAAAATGCAATACAAAACGTGTTAATTTCATATCCAGGCAAGCTGTCTTGCAAGTATCAAGGACCTTGAAAAAAAAGTTTTTAACATACAAGAACTTAGGGAATTCTATACCTATAAGCCCTTCTTAAGTGGATGAACATCATCTAACCAAGAGATGACTGAGAAAACCTCAGAAAAAGGACTTAGGGTGACCATTTTAATATAAAAGTAGACCTACAACTAAAATGTAGCTGAAGGTGAGGAAGGAAGACTAAAGTACAAATGTTTACATGTTGTGACAAAGAAATAATGCCAACTAAAAATGCAAGAAGGGAGGAAAAGAAGAAAGTAGAATATCCACACATTTTTATATAGGCAATAGGTGGAAATTAAAGAATATCAAAGGACAAAGCTAAAACTGTAAAATTTCTAAAACAAAGCATAGGAGAAAATCTTTGTAACCTTGGGTTACACAAACATTTCTTAGATAAAACATGAAAAGTATAATCTACAAGAGAAAAAATTAATGAACTGGACTTCAGCAAAATTAAAAACTTTTGCCCCGTGAAAGACACTGGTATGAGAATGATAAAACACACCACAAAGAAAATATTTCCCAATCACCTATGTGGCAAAGCACTTGGATCTTGAACATACAACGAATTCTAAAAACTGAACTATAAGAAAACATACAACTCAATAAGAAAAAATGGGCAAAAGATTTGAATATACACTTCACCAAAGAAGACAGAAAATAAGCACAAGAAGAGATGCTCAACATCTTTAGTCACCAGGAAAATACAAATTAAAACCATAATAATAACCACTACACACTTATTAAAATGGTAAAAATCAAAAGAACTAACAATACCAAGTTCTGATATAGTTGGTGAGCAACGAGAACTCTTATCATTGCTGGTGGAAATGCAAAATGGTACAGTCTCTTTAGTAAAGAGGTTGGCAGTTTCTTAAGTGGTTAAACACATGCTTACCTAATGACCAAGCAATCATACTCATATATATTTACTACAGTGAAATGATAATCTATGTTCACATAAAAATCTGTACATAAATGTTTATAGCAGCTTTATACATACAGTCATGCATTGCTTAAAGACAGGGATATGTTCTAAGAAATGCATTGGTAGGCAATTTTGTCTAGCGAGCATCATAGAGTGTACTTACTACAAACCTAGATGGTTTAGCCTACTATACACCTAGGCTATTTGGTACTAATCTTATGGGACTACTGTCGTACATGTGGTCCATCGTTGACGGAAACATCGTTATGCGGCACGTGACTGTAACCATCAAAAACCAGAAACAATCCAATGTCCATCAAGAGGAAAAAGGATAAACAAATTTACATTTATACAATGAATACTTCTCACGAATACAAAAGAACAGTCTTCTAATATTCAAGATGATGTATAATATGAATCTCAAAAATATTCTGAGTGAAAAAGTCAGAAGTAAAAGAAGAGATAGTGTAACTTTCCATTTACATGAAGTTCAAGAATAGACAAAAATGATCTGATGACGGACATAAGAAGAGTGGCTGCCAGAGGCAAGGGTTGGGGGTGACTGATTTGAAAGGAGCATAAAGGTGATGGATATGTTCAGCATCTTGAGCGGATTATGATTATACAGGTACATATGTTTGTCAAAATTCATTGAACTGTACACTTAAGATCTGCACACTTTACTGTTTATAAATTATACTCAATAAAGTACTGTTAGCATTTTTAAAAGGCATCAATATATTTATTTTATATAAGTATTATTCTGTCATCTCTTCTGTTTTTAAAAGAGAAAAAATTTTAAATTATTTTTAAAAAATAAACCAGACCACGTTTTAACTATTTATTTTCTTTACCTGAAGGATGTTGTTCCATTCTCTTTTATCTTATTATTCTGAACAGGAGATGCTTGAAGTGACAGAATTTTATTTCCTGGCAGGGTAATTTGCTTTAGAATGGAAGCTATAAAAACAAAAGAAGAAAGAAAAAAGTGGATTAAAAAAAGCAATCCAGCCTCATTAGGAAAAATTCAGGCAAAAGCTTTTAATATATGTAGAGCAATTAAGAAAATTTCAAGCTGCCCTAGAACTATGTTTAAATTCAAACATGACAATGAATTTATTCCCTACATAAGAAATTATCTTATAAAATCAAGACCTCTCCATTTCTTTTTTATATGGTCTTCAGATTGTCTATAGAATTGCCAGCATTATAAAAATATTACGCAGAAAAGGTGCCAGAAACATATGTTAATAATATATCGGGGCTGGCCCAGCGTGTAGTGGTTAAGTTCGCGAGCTCTGCTTCAGCAGTTCGGATCCTGGGCACAGACCTACTCACCACTCATCAAGCCATGCTGAGGCAGCATCACACATAGAGAAGCTACAACTCTACAACTATCATATACAACTATGTACTGGGGCTTTGGGGAGAAAAAAGAAAAAAAGAGGAAGATTGGCAACAGACAGCGCAGGGCGAATCCTCCTCAAAAAAGAATAAATAATAATAAAATATATCATTTATACTGGTAGATTTTAAAAATACATAAGACATCTAGCTTTTATGCATAAGACTGATTTCCAAACTTAGAGAAAGAAGTACATTTTAAAAAGAAATAAGACTATAGCAAATTTTTTTTTTTTGGTGAGGAAGATCAGCCCTGAGCTAACATTCATGCCAATCCTCCTCTTTTTTTGCTGAGGAAGACCCGCCCTGAGCTAATATCTATTGCCAATCCTCCTCCTTTTCTTTCCCTTTTACTCCCCAAAGCCCCAGTAGATAGTTGTATGTCATAGTTGCACATCCTTCTAGTTGCTGTATGTGGGATACCACCTCAGCATGGCCGGACAAGCAGTGTGTCGGTGCGCGCCCAGGATCCGAACCCGGGCCACCAGAAGCGGAGCACACGCACTTAACCGCTAAGCCACGGGGCCGGCCCCTACAGCAAATTTTATAAGTTAAATAAGTACTTATTTACTAGTAGATTGTTTTATCTAATTACAAAATACCAAGAGTAGTTGCTTCTTTTATTCTAAAACAATATATAGTCCTAAAAAGTAGCTATGTATGTACAAAGAACGTAACAGTTATGTTTCAGTCCTCTCTCATAGGTCCCAACTTAAAAGATCAAATCTCTCTTTGCTTAATATAACAATAAAAAAGAGAGTACATGATGGGTTGTAATTAGTATTTTGGTGGTGAACATGAGGTAATCTATGCAGAAATAGAAGTATAATGATGTACACCAGAAATTTTTACAATGTTATAAACCAATAAAAAAAATAATAATAATAAAAAAAAGAGAGTACAAAACCCTGACAAGTTCCAACCCAGTGTGATGGAGAGGGAATGGGCCAGAGTCTACCTGGAGGAAACTGACTGGTAGGTATTGCAGTGCTCACAGGCATCTTCTTCTGTCCAGATTTCTGAATGGTCAATGCTGAGGAATGGGAAAGTGTGGTCACTTGTTTTGCAATGCCTCCTGAAGGCTGCTGGACTACCTGAAAGGATGAGAACTGTCAATATAGTCATTCAACTAAAACTGCTTTAGGAAAGAACAAGCTTTCAGTCATATCAAACAGAACTAAAGGATTGTGCTCACCTAACTGTAAATACACCCTTCTCTTAGCATAATAATGAAGCCTACTTAAAATTTAAATTTGTATAGAGCAAAATTATCTTCTTATTCAAAAGCAAAAAACTGATTATCTCACACAATATATTTGTTTTTTTAGAGTGGAATTCAAATTTGCATTACATACTGCCCAATTTAAATCTCCATATGGATCCTATTTTCATTTTTTAACTTATCATGGAAAATTTCAAACATGTACAAAAATAGAGGGAACAATAAAACGAAACCACCTATACCATTATTACCCAGCTTCAACAATGATTAATTCTTGGCCAATCTTGTTTCATCTATATCCCTACCCACTTCTCCACCATCCTCAATTATTTTAAAGCTAATTCCAGACATCACTTTTTATCCATAAATATTTCAAAATATCTCTCTAAAAGATAGGAACTGTTATTGGGCTGTTTTTTAACAGTATCTGGAAAATGACAGCGCTAAAGACATTCTCCAAGATAACAGTTGAAGAAATCCAGAGGGTGAGCCCTGGGGATAAAGGAAGAGAAATTAATAGCAGGGCCTTATTTTTAGCTTCAAAGAAGAAGAAAAAACAGAATAGCAGAGCTTCATTTTTTCACTTCAAAGAAGAAAAACAGACACCCTGTATTTGAGCCAGCTATTGACAGTGAACTATTTATAAGTCCTTAAACTCATATATGGCTAATTTAAACGAGCCAGGAGATAGACTTCTGAACAGAATTTGGGGGTAACAATTTATTCCATACTCTAATTTTTCATAAATAAAATTTAAAATCTAGTGTGTATTACTAAACAAAAGTAACTCACAAGAAACTGAAAGTGTCCCAGTAACTAATCCTACAGGAATTAATGCCCCTAGAGAAGAAATACAAGTGGGAATAATTCAATTGCCATCATTCTGTAAGAATAGACTCTCGAAAACATTGAAATTACATTGAAAACAACAATGTAATTCAATAATTTGAAATCATACTTATGTACTGTAGTCCTAGGGATTAGATTTAAATTCTACAAAGTACCACACAGTCAGAGTCCCATTTATACATTCAGACTGAATCTCAACAGAAAGACTCCTGACAACTCTAGCTTTTCTCCCTATTGTTCACATTTTCTTTCCTGATATTCTTTATGAGGTATTTCTTTTCAGTATTTTAATTATGAAAGATAGTCATAAAATATTATTAGAAATTTGTTTATGAGTTAGTCTTCATACCATTTTTGATGGGAACAAGACTATTCCTGGGGTGGGGAGGTGGGGGCACTCCACACCACCTAGGGACCTGCCAGGAGGGGTGGGGGCAGGAGAGGGAGAGTGGGGGGCATGTGGGAGACCCGGCCCACACAGACACCGGCACTGGTGTGTGGCCCTGGCATGGAACAAGTTGGGGAAGGTGAGCCGCAGTGCCCACCCGAGGGGTCCTGGGCCTGGGAGTGTGCACAGCCCCACTTGCAGCCCAACCAGGGTCAAATTCATGCAGGTTGTTGGGGGCAAATGTGCCAGTTAAAAAAAAAAAAGTAAGTGTGTGTGTGTGTGTATATATATATATGATATGTGATATTTACATATATCACAGTTTTGAGCTGGGATTTCACAATCCTGGATTCCTATCATTCCTCATCTTAATGACTCTAACACATGGGGCAGCATACGTGCAGCATACTCCTGCACACTTGCCGAACAAAATAAAATATAATGAGAAACTGTAAGAGAATTCATTAGTGTTCTTAGAAAGAAAATACCATTTAAAACCACAGTATTAGGCACCTTTTGGAGACTGAAATTATCTTTAAAGAGATGGAAATTGGCCCAAAGAAGAGATATTTGCTCCTACTTGGCAAACAAAAGAAAGAGCTATTATATTTTTTAAAACTTAAGTCCTTTATTCACTTTCCCTCCAAAAGACCATTAGAGAGGAAGAACGGTAAACGGTAGATACCTTAGCTTTTTGTCTCGACATGTCAAGTTCTAATGTTTTCTTTGCATGTTAACATAAATTAACATTCTAATAGTTTAGAGAAACTACAGGTCTAGAGCTACACAATATACTTTAGGTGACAGTTTTTTTTTACATTAATTTTGATTTTACATTAACTATGATCTGGAATACCTGGCAAGGAACGGTTCTTAAATTCCATAAGGAAAGAAAGCAAGAAGAACACAAGTATGGATTAAACAAGTAGATAAGAACACCCCTCACACTTTGCTTTCTCTGTATTTCAACCTCCCACCCTCTTCCCTATTCATAAATACACAGCAATCAAATACTTATCTCTAAATAACTCACGTAGTATATGCACACAAAGTTACTGGAATCAAGGGTAATATCTCCTCTAATTTGTATATAATGTCCAATATGAAATTACTGGCATGCACTCACTAGGGTTGAGTTCTAGAAAACAGAGGGCCCCAACTAAACAAATACTGTAGTATAAAAGTCAGGAAATACACGTTAGTTGCCAACTATTTCTCAGGAACAGCCAATGTGTGGTTCTTGAGCCACTAATTCCTCATCTTCTGGGACAGTGTCATATACCACTAAATGCCACTATAAACCCACATCCAGCCTCAGAATCTTTCTTAATAACAGAGCTCCAATAAAATCCTACAATGGAGCTGAAATTTATTTGCCCTAGATTAAAAATCAATCTTGGTAAACCTCAGAATATGCCGTTTCTTTAATTTACTTACTTATTTATTTATTTTTTGTGAGGAAGATCAGTCCTGTGCTAACATCTGCCAATCCTCCTTTTTTTTTGCTGAGGAAGACTGGCCCTGGGCTAACATCTGTGCCCATCCTCCACTTTATATGGGACGCCGCCACAGCATGGCTTGCCAAGCAGTGCGTCGGTGTGCGTCCAGGATCCAAACCGGCGAACCCCGGGCCGCTGCAGTGGAGCGCGCGCACTGAACCGCCTGCACCACCTGGCCGGCCCCCATTTCTTTAATTTAAAGAGCCTTGTAAACACTTTTAAAAATTGCTCAAATGATTCTTAATTATATTACCAGCTTTTATAGGAATCAGTAAATGCTGCCTCAAATCAAGAACCTACCAATTTCTGTTAAAAAAATTTAAATGTGCTTATTGCATGATTTGATTTATATGAAGTTCTAGAACAAGCAAAACTAATTTGTGGGAGAAAATTATCAGAAGAGTCATTGCTTCTGGGGGAACAGGGGTGGGGACTGACTGGGAAGGGAGGGAATTTCAAGGTGATGGCAATATTCTATATCTTGATGGGGGTTTGAGGTACACAGAGGTATGCACTAACTGTCAAAACATCCATTTGTGCATGTCACTGTAAGTAAATTTTAGCTAAAAAGAAAAAAAAGAGTAAACAAATATTGAACTGTAGTTAATGATATGCATGTTTAATTATCTAGGAAGAAATCTTAGAAATGCATGGAAAAATTAAGATGACTGATGGCTGGACAAATACACAATAAATCAAGTATGATAATTGTAAATGGCAGAATCTAGGTGGTTGGTATATGGGTGTCCACTATAAACTTCAACTTTGCTATGTTTGAAAATTTTCATAATAAAACATTTTCTTGAACAATGCAAAAATAAGACAACATATACGTATACAACATACATAAATATTGTCTCTAACTAGTTCATTTTCCATAAATTCTAATGCACTCTTACCAAACTAAAATAAAAAAAAATTCCTCAAGTAAATTTAAATGAACTAGTGTTTACCAACCTATATAATAAGCCTATTATTATATAAATCATAGCCCATGAAGAATTTTCTATGCAACTCCTAATTACATATGGTAAAGGGTAGGCCTTACTTGGATTTAACCTCTTTCTTCACCAAACCTTTCATTAGTTCTATTTAAATGGGATTACAATCAACAACTAAATTCGACCTCTGTTCTCACTCTTAACAAAATGCAAAAATAGGAAGGAAAAAAAGACAAACTGTGGGGCCAGCCTGGTGGCACAGTGATTGGGGTCTCATGCTCCGCTTCAGTGGCCCAGGGTTCGCGGGTCTGGATCCGGAGCGCAGACCTACACACCACTCATCAAGCCATGCTGTGGCAGCATCCCACATACAAAATAGAGGTACATGGGCACAGATGTTAGCTCAGGGCCAATCTTCCTCACCAAAAAAAAAAAAGACAAACTGGTAAAATCTGGATCCTGGTAGGTCAGTCCAATAGGAAACTCAGAGTGAACTACCTGAGTCAATAAAACAACTAATAATCCTTGTTTTTTTTCCCCACTCATTTTTTATTTCAACTTCTCTAATGAAAATGCTGGCCACCAGCATACTCAAGAGACTAAAATTTATACCTGGAAAATATTTCTCCTTCTCCAAGGAGAACTGAGATCAGAGACAATCAGCAGAGTTATGTCTCACACAGTATTTCATACAAAAATGTATTTGTTGAAAATTCTTTAATGGTTCCCCTACTTCAAAGTAATTAGGTACAAGAAAAAAATATGATGCAACCACAACAAAAATTTTTTCTAATATTCTGGGTCAATTTATTTTAGGAGATCAGTTTTACTTCAATATAATGAAACTTACCACAGTAATAATGCACTAATACCTATTTGTTTTTCTCTTATATCCATAAAACAGTAATATTTGGTGAATGGTTGTTGAACATACTTGGCCACTTATTTATCAAATGTCTACAATTCTGTTAAGGAAGAAATGCAAGCAATAGAGTCACTGGGGGAAATATATATTTGAAATAAGAAAAATATCTATGATAATACTAAAACTTCCTGGCCTATCTCCAAGTATAAATTATCCTTAAAGATATTCAAGTAATATATAAATAAAAGATGACTAAGTTAACTTTCTGAAATTGTCAGCCTTTTTTCCAAAAACAGATACCAGGAATACTGAATTAACTTTCTCATTCATGAATTTTATTCACACATGTCGTGGCTTTGAGTGGCTTACTGTTTAATTTTTATGGGGTAAAATTAGTTATTAAAATTTATAAAAATTTAATTTTAAAAATGATCAGACAAATTAAAATTTAGCTGTTCTATATTAAATTGGCTTTTGGTAATTGAGTTTAAATTTAATTAAAATGATAATCTTTAATTTAAATTAAATTTAGCTTTTGCTCAATTATGAATAAAACAGTTTTTTCACAAACATGCTAAGGAAAACTTTTAAATATCGAAATTCCTGAAAGCTTCTACTTATTATCTATTCATCATCAGTAGATTATAATCCAACTTATCCACTCTATTTCATTAACTTCTAAACAAAGGTAAAAAGGTTAAGCTCAACATTTAGCTGGAGTGTATAATATCGTATAACAACTACTATGCCAGAATTGATAGATAACCAAGAAGATTAATCATTTATAAGAACTAGATTCTTAGATAAAATCGTGAGAACTATTGATTAGGTACATATTTCAACAATTCAAGCATCTGAGGATCAAAATATACAAAGCACTGAATTACTGGTACAAAATGAAAAATTGAAGCCTAAAGAAACTGTGAACAATTCTAGTTAACTTACTTGATGAGAGCTTTAGCAGATCCCCAGAGGATAACATACAATAATCAATGAGATAGAAAAGATAACACGTAGTGATAAATCTAAATTCTAAAAAAAATGGGGGTGGGTCTCTTTAAGCTGGAATAAAAATGTATGAATTTCATAAAATAATTGTACAAAACCTAAACCCTGCAATGGTAGATTGAGAGGATTCTTTTAAGTTCGAAGTGTGACATTTAAAACACCTTATCCAGAAAGCAGAACACCTATACAATTCTCCAGAAAAACTTGCATAAGATAGAAACAGATAAAATATTAAGAGGGAATTTTTAAATACATGATCAATTATTAAAGGAAATAAATTACACAAATTTTAAACCTAACATTGAATAAGATAGTCATATTTGTATTCTTCATATCAAGACTGCATCTTGAGTTGCATGGACCATAGAGTTGATCCAGTGTGGCAATTCTCATATTTTAAATGATTATTCGCCATATTTCTTAGAAGCTGTGTTGAATACTTTCTTGGGTTTCTTAGATTACTAGCACCCTGAGTGTTTTCCTTCTCACTTAGACCTAGGATTAAACTGGAGTATGGATTATAATGGACTCACCGACGATATTCTTCAATTACTTGAGTAATACTAATTCGAACTTGAGTAATATCAATTTTCTAAATTAGTTGATTTGAAAGAGTGTCTTAGTTCAATCCTCTCTGTGGCATTACCATAAAGAACGGCTTATGTTGTTTTGTGCTCCAGGTAAAAATCTGTTGTAAAACAGATTAAAATGCATCTTCAGTGTCTAGCTGCTCTGGTTTTTGCCATTTTAAATAAAAAGGTGTGAATACTGACGTCAAATCTGTTGACTAAAATTGAAACAAAGGCCAAACAAGCAAGTAGAATTCACAAGGAAAATTAAATTATTCCACATTCTTTTAAGAATCAAAGTAGGAAGTTTAAAAATTCCTAAAATTTACCACTGCATTTTCTGTTACATTTTTTCTTGACTGAAATTGTTTTTAATGTATAACATGTCAAACCTACAAAATGTAAATGCTGTCAAGATATTATTACCAGACAGTTTTCTATTTCAGGACACTACACAAACCTAGAAGTTCCTGCCATGAGCACCATAACCTAATGGGAAAGATACTGGGTTCTAGTCTGAGACCCATTACTTGTTGAGTGCCAGTGGATGGGTCACTTAAAAGTTCCAGATTCTTAGTTTTCTCCTTGCCTTTTCTTCATCACAAAATTACTTTAAAATCCATAGTGTATACATGACACGCTTTTAAAATTCTATGCAGCTATAGAGTATTATTTCACTTCAGGGACCGATACGCTATAGATGTTCAATAAAGATTAGCACTGATTCAAGAATCAGCTATGACTCGTAAAGAGGATTTCAATTCTGTTCAGTGCTACCAAAAAGAAGACTTTCCTTGGGGCAATTACTGTGTTCCAGTGGTTCCCAAACCTGGCTGCTCAGACCAATGTTTAAGAATTACTGCTTCTGGGGCCGGCCCCATGGCTTAGCGGTTAGCGCATGCTCCGCTGCTGGAGGCCCGGGTTCGGATCCGGGCGTGCACTGACGCACCGCTTCTCTGGCCATGCTGAGGCCGCGTCCCACATACAGCAACTAGAAGGCTGTACAACTATGGCATACAACTATCTACTGGGGCTTTGGGGGAAAAAAAGGAGGAGGATTGGCAACAGATGTTAGCGCAAAGCCGGTCTTTCTCAGCAAAAAGAGGAGGATTAGCATGGATGTTAGCTCAGGGCTGATCTTCCTCACAAAAAAAAAAAAAAAAGAATCACTGCTTCTAAAAAAATTTCATCTTGGAGATTAAATTCAGACACCAAAGAGAAACTGTGCAAGGCAGGTACATTTTCCCATTTGAAAATCAGATCCAGAGTAGGAGGGGATGAAAAAAGATTAGCACCCAGGAAATAACTATTACTTCCTAACTACCCAAGAGTTGACTGCTGTCCAAACTGATCCTGCCCCTTTCATTCTATGCCCAAAGCTGCCCTCTGCCTCAAAGACAATCAACCACAGATATTAACCTCTTTTCTGATCAAACAAGGCTAGTAAGTTTACTTAGATTTTACTACTCGAAGAAGCAGAGTAAACTAAAACAAAAAGATTCAAAACACAGCCTTTAACATGAAGACTTTACAAAAGAGAATAAGTGCAATCACCAAAAATCAAAAGAACAGCTGGTAGGGGAGAAATTTACTAAAAAAATATGATTTTTAATTAATTCACAATGTACTATCTCCCACAGGTTAACAATACTTTCATAGTCTTCTAATAAAACTTGTCTTGAATAAAGTAGAACGTTTTAAACAGATAGAGAAACAGCTAAGATTTCTTTCACCCAAGAACCTCCCAACGTACCGAGTTTAGGAAAAAAAAAACTTCTTACTCATCTACTCTCTTCACTGTCTCCCTCTCCCCTCAGCACATTTTTTAAAAGAAATGTTACCATAATATCACCTATGTAACAAACCTGCCAAAAATATTTAATCTAAATCTAATCTTGAGGAAACAATCAGACAAAACAAAATAAAGGCCATCCTACAAAACAACTAGCCTGGGCACTTAAAATATTACACCATAACGAGCAACCACAAAAGGCTGGGGAACTGTTCTAGATTAAAGGAGCCTAAAGAGAAATGACAAGTAAATGTAATATGCAGTTCTTTATTAGAAACAACATCAGAAAAAGAATAGCTATAAAGGACATTGTTGGGACAACTGGGGAAATACTCTACCAATATTAACTTCCCACGAGCGATAAGTATGCTGTGGTAAAAGGATGTTAAAAAAAAAAAAAACTTTTCCTTAAAAGATACATAGTACTTAGGCATGCAGTATCACGATTTCTGCAACCAACTCGGAAACGGTTCAGGAATAAATTGTGTGTGTGTGTTTGCGTATGTGAACAGAGAGACGGAGAGACAAAGCAAATGCGGTTAAAACAGTAACAACTGGTCAAACTCGGTCAAAGGTACACAGCCAGTTTTCTCAATATTTGAAATTTTCAAAATAAGAAACTGAGGAAGAAAGGAAGCGTTACTTACTAGTTGTTTGACTTTCACTGCCTGTGGAAGACCAGCTGGCTGTGAAAGGATGGGGCCCGGCTGTGCAAGTTTGATTTGGACTGGAGCGCCAATGACAGGCTTGTCAGATGTGGTCCCAGCAGAAGTAACAACAGGTTTCACGGACGGAAGACAAATAGCTGCTGCTGAAGTTTCTCCAAAAGTTACTGAGGGAAGGGCCAGTGTTACTGCCCCCCCCGAAACAACTGGCTTTTCAGGCTGAAGGGAGACTGCTGTAACTGTGTTTTGTATAGATGTCACAAGCGGTTTTGGAGTCTGAAGCAAAACGGTTCCAGCTGTTGTTCCTCCTGGTCCAGCAGCTGGACCCACAGAATGAAGAGTCACAACTCCAGTTTTGGCTCCCCCCGGAACAGCAAGTGGATTCAGAGTTTGCACTGACACAGTTTTGGGTGGTGTTGCTCCAGAAACAACCACAGGTTTTTCAGACTGGATTGAGGAAACTGTGGTTGTCACCACAGGAGAAGTTGTTACTGTTGTGGTACAAGTAGCAATGACTATCTCGCTAGAAGTCTGCTGAACACACTGCTGGATAAAGCTCTGGGAGTTAGGCATGAGTTGTCGTAAGGCAATCACACTTTTCTAGAAACAGGAGAGGAAAAAAACACTGATAACTAAACAAATTAGCTACTAGTAAAACTGAACTACTTTGTATTTCACATCTTTACAGCATACAATAAGTCAAAAGTATATCAAGTGTTGCAGTTGAGGAAATCTGATACCACTTACATATATCCCGTCAATACTCAGGATACAATCAATTTAAAGTCCAAAAGTGCTTTATTTTTCAATACAAAATTATTATGTCTCAGTATTAAACTTATTTTGTATACTTCAGTATCAATTTGGTAAAATAAAACACTGTATCATACTTGTTTGTATTCATCTAAATCCCATAATTGATCACTAATAACTTCAGTATCTTTAAGGTTGTTTATATGACAGCAGAATCTAAAAAAAAAAGTTTTTGTTAAATAACTTGCACACTCTGAATAGAAATAGTCTTTACAGCAAAATAAAACTAATACAAACAAGGTCAACTTCCTTCACTGAGCTAGAATATTTTCTGACTGGATTTTTACGTTGGTATCTATCTTTGTATCCTGCTGAAAGAATAAAGACAGTTCAAACTAAAAAGTAGAAGGTTCTGCCTTTTCATCCCTGGGGTTTTTGTTGTTTTTGTTTTTGAGTACGAAAAAAAATTGGAAAAGTAGATAATAGGTTATTTTTTGGCGAGTTCATAAGCTGTTTTGGAAAATTTTCTTGTTTTCACACTTAAATTCTGTCAGACTGCCTTTTTTAAGAAGCAAATGAGAACTATTGCTCCTCTTCCTTTCCTTTTAGTTACTTCCTTTACTTTTTTTTATTTAAAAAAATTTAAGAAAATTCTTATCTGAAGAGCTTTCCAAGTATACATATAAATAGAAACAAAGGAAAATAAGAAGCAGAAAGTCTCTCATAATCTTTTTCCAAACTTTAAAAATGGTAGAAAACAAGCTGCTTTGGAAATACATGAATGAAGTGATTTGATTAATTAAATTTAAGCTAGAAATCTAAGATGAGGGGGTCCTGAGAAAAACACAATTAGAAAGAAATGTTAATCAGACTTAAAGAGACAACGATAAAAAAATGTATGTGTAAATTATCTCTTGATCACCTAGCCAGAATTAAGCTTAAATGCTGAATCTCTCATCTCTATGCAACATCCAACCCCCAAATGCTCTTAAGGATGAGAAAAAAAAAAACTCTCAAGAAAAAAGCATAAGGCTCAACAGGTCTTTAGAAAACAGATACAAAGTGCAAATATACTTCATAGCAATATTTGGCAACTTAAAGGCAGTATTACCTAGCAAGTAAAGAAAGACAGGCTAAATTCTGGACCTGTGAGTTTGATCAAAAGTTAGTCAATTTAAATGGTTTTCTCATCACCAAAATGGAAAATACTACACTATCTAGCATCTATTCTCAAAAGACTAATATGAAAATTAAGTGCAAACATTCTCAGTTTCTTTAGCCACACTTCATATTACGTCATTAGCACCCTCCTAATCAACGTGGTCACCCTCCTAGGGATAGTTTCCACTATTTTAACATCGTTCTGAAAATGTGGTGCCTCATCTCCCTTCCCACTCTTCTTCCATGAGGCAACCAAAGGGAGTCTTCCACTACAAAGCCTCCTTCATCTCCCCTAGACAACTAAGCTAAATTTTTTTTTTTTTTATAATTTTTATTTATTTATTTATTTTTCCCCCCAAAGCCCCAGTAGATAGCTGTATGTCATAGCTGCACATCCCTCTAGCTGCTGCATGTGGGACGTGGCCTCACCATGGCCGGAGAAGCAGTGCGTCGGTGCGCGGGATCGGAACCCGGGCCGCCAGCAGCGGAGCGCGCGCACCCAACCACTAAGCCACGGGGCCAGCCCAAAGCTAAATTTTTTTAAAGGCCAACTCCTCATCTCATTATTTCAACATTTATGGGATGAGCCTTCAGTTCACTATAGACCCAGGTTTTTAATGACATTATAAATTTCAATTTGATTCCTTTTCAGATTCTCATTATCTAAAAGGAATACATTTTTTCAGTCTGCCAAACCAAGCACTTGTTATCAGTTATTGTTCTCCACCAAAATTCTATTTAATTCAATAAATCCTATAGAAGAGTATGCCTAACAACATAAATTAATTTTTAAAAATAACAGCTTTCCTACTAACTTTGGCACTTTGTGGTTTACTATTTCTAAGAGAACATGAGTCATCAGGACAAAGCAGAAGGTCCTATTTTTTTAAAAAAAAGTCAAGAATCTTTGAGAATACAAGCATTAAATAATATAATCAAGTCATGTTCATGAATGAGATGTTACTTCTGTTTTCCCAACATGTTCCAATCCAAAAGATATGGACTATGAATGTGCTTTATAGATTACAAAAGCACTGAGAGGTTTCTCCTACATCGTTAGTATCTTCACATTAAATCGCTGTCATATTGAAATATTCAAGTTTTAAATTATTTTAAAGTAATCTAATCCAAACAATTTCTTCAAAGTAACAACTCCTACCTTAAGAAAAGGAACTAGGTGAGGTTGAGGTGAAGACTTGAGTTCAACATACAGTTGTCTAGTAAATTCTTCTGCTTCAATTTTTGCATCCTGAGGAATGCGAGAAAGAAGAACACTTTTAGGTCTACAAATATTTTAAAAGAGGAAACGTGCATAATTCATGATTGTAGACATAGCAAGCTTTGAACAGTGATAAAGTCCATCATTAAACAGGCGCATTTTTTTTCACGTCACTTGTGAAATGAATAAACAAACAATACAGATGTTTGTTCATACAGAATACAATGAAAGGATGATTTTTTTTAACATCCCAGTAAGTAAAGTGAGAGAACAGCTGGCTGGCTGAAAAAGGCTATAGATGGTGTAGTACTGTCTGTTAATTAAGAAGTGAAGACAGGCCAGCCCCGTGGCTTAGCGGTTAAGTGCACGCACTCCGCTACTGGCGGCCCGGGTTCGGATCCCAGGTGCGCACCGACGCACCGCTTCTCCCGCCATGCTGAGGCCGCATCCCACATACAGCAACTAGAAGGATGTGCAACTATTACATACAACTATCTACTGGGGTTTTGGGGGAAAAAAGAGGAGGATTGGCAATAGATGTTAGCTCAGAGCTGGTCTTTCTCAGCAAAAAGAGGAGGATTAGCATGGATGTTAGCTCAGGGCTGATCTTCCTCATAAAAAAAAAAAAAAAGGAAGTGAAGACACAGGAGTCCTAAACTTCTTAAGATAGGGAATAGGAGGTTATTTGGTTTGGGGGCCTTGGGGTTTTTTTTGTTTTGCTTTTCCAATTTTCAAATTACCTTAACCGAAGTAAGACTATATTTTTGGAACGCTATTGCAAGGCCATAATAACAGATATACTATTGTTCCAAACGACTCAGGAACTCTTCCATACATCCTTACACTCTTAAGCATTTCAGGAGTTTATGAGGTCTAAATTATTTTCACATTAATACTAATTTTTTTGGCCCTTTTCGCTGTGCTGAGATTTGCACTGAAGCAGCAGTGGGTCAAACTGCTGGCAAGAAAGGCAGTGGCAACAAATTGAAATCGTTGTCATCACACTCTACATCGCCGTGCACTTGTGGTAAAAGACAAAAAAGAGAGTCAGTTTCACATCAGAATGCCCTCAATGAAGCAGTAAAAATTAGTTTCACTAAATCTCAACCCTTCAGTAGACATCTTTTTAATATTATGTGTAACAAAATGGGAACCACACATAGAGCATTTCTGCTGCAGGCCAAAGTAAGAGGCTCAAGGAAAAGCACCTTGTGATTGAGTTGCTAGCTGATCTAGCTGCTTTTTTTCATTTATTGAAAAGAATATCAAACCAACTGTGGTTATTCAGACTTGAGTATTTGATAGACATTTTCTCTAAAAAAAACAAAAAAACAAAAATCCAAGCCTGTCTCTGTAAGGAAAACAACTGACGGTATTTGTTGGTAATGATAAAAATTAGAGCTCTCAAACTAAAATTAGAAAATTTGTAACCACAATCCTGAGCTTGATAGCTTACCAGTAATTAAAGAATTTTTTGATGACACTGTAGATGAGACTACAAGTATGCTTTTTTGATATCTTTTTTTTGTGTATGTGAGAAAGATGAGCCCTGAGCTAACATCAATGCCAATCCTCCTCTTTTTGCTGAGGAAGACCGGCCCTGAGCTAACATCTATTGCCAATCCTCCTCCTTTTTTTCCCTTTTTCTCCCCAAAGCTCCAGTAGATAGTTGTATGTCATAGTTGCACATCCTTCTAGTGGCTGTATGTGGGATGCTGCCTCAGCGTGGCCGGACAAGCCGTGCGTCGGTGAGCGCCTGGGATCCGAACCCGGGCCGCCAGTAGCAGAGCACACGCAGTTAACCGCTAAGCCCCGGGGCCGGCCCCTGATATCTTAAATAACAAATTCGTCAACATTTGGAAGATCTGTACCACTCAGTGAACCAGTATTTTCCAAATGACCAAATACATGCTGTTACCAAAATCATATATGGGTAAAAGATCCATTCAGAGTGCAAGATAAACCAGTGAACTCTAAAGAAAATCCACAATGATCTGGAGACAAGCTCTCTAAAATACTCACTTTTGGATTTACCTCTCTGCATGAGGGCAGATATTCTCCAAATACTTCGACCAAAATAACACATCACAAAACAGATTAAATGCAGAAGCAGATATGAGAATCTAGCTGTCTTTTATTAAGTCAGATGTTAAAGGGATTTGCAAAAACGTAAAGCAATGCCACTCTTCTCACTCAATTTTTTTGTTTTGGAAACTACAGTTTTCATCATTTACAGTAGTCCCCCCTTTATCCACAGTTTCGCTTTCTGTGGTTTCAGCTACCCACAATCAACCGTGGTCCCAAAATATTAAAGGGAAAATTCCAGAAATAAACAATTCACAAGTTTTAAATTGCATGCTGCTCTGGGTAGCCATGATGAAATCTCACACCATCCTGCTCTGTCCCACTTGGGACGTGAATCATCCCTTTGTCCAGCATATTCACGCTGTGTACGCTATCCGCCCCATTAGTCACTTAGTAGTTGACTGGGTTATCAGATAGACTGTCACAGTATCACAGTGCTTGTGTTCAAGTAACCCTTATTTTATTTAATAATGGTCCTAAAGCGCAAGAGCAGTGATGCTGGCAATTAGGATATGCCAAAGAGAAGCCGTAAAGTGCTTCCATTGAGTGAAAAGGTGTAAGTTTTCAACTTAATAAGGAAAGAAAAAAATTGTATGCTGAGGTTGCCAAGATTGACGGTAAGAATGAAATCTTCTGTCTGTAAAATAATGTAGAAGGAAAAAAAAATTCATGCTAGTTTTGTTGTTGTACCTCAAATATCTATGTATAGGAAAAAACAGTACATATACGGTTCAATAGTATCCGCAGTTTCAGGCATCCACTAGGAGTCTTAGAACATATCCCCCTCAGATAAGGGGGGACTACCATAAATATTATTTATATCAACATGTAAAGGCTTTATTGTTATTTTTAAATAAATTAATAAATAAAATTTTTATTTTAAATGTCAATTTTAATCCCAACTCCACAAAAACAAAATTTCTTTGGGAGTCCTCAATTTTTAACAATACAAAGGTATCCTAAGACCAAAATGTTTAAGAATTACTATTTGCTGTTAATTAGCTATTAGCTAATAGCTATTAAGCTAAACAGAGCTTAAGCTAGAAAGAATATTTCATTAATTCTTGACTGCTCCTAGCTGTCCACAAAATTCACACAAATTCTCTGTACTTAGAAATTTTTAAATGTTTTACTGGGGGGCCGGCCCCGTGGCGTAGCAGTTAAGTGCACATACTCCACTGCTGGCAGCCTGGGTTCAGATCCCTGGCGCACACCGATGCACTGCTTGTCAGGCCATACTGTGGTGGCATCCCATATAAAGTGGAGGAAGATGGGCACAGATTTTAGCCCAGGGCCAGTCTTCCTCAGCAAAAAAAAAGAGGAGGATTGGCATGGGTGTTAACTCAGGGCTGATCTTCCTCACAAAAATAAATAAATTAATTAAAATAAAATAAAATACAACCCATTTAAAAAAGTTTTATTGGATACACGTTTCTTTCCATCATGCCTCTATAGAGTATTCCATCTAAGAGAAACAAGCCACAAGATCCCCTTTCAAAACCAATATACTTTAAAAATGGAAGATCAAAAGCTCAATGTTTACTTTAAAAGAGAAACTCAAAAGTTATTTATATGACTTATAATTTTAAATATCTAAAATAGTTTTCCTGAATGGAAAACTAACCATTTCAAATATGCCCTATTTCTAACAAATTATAGGTAGCATAAAAAACAGTAGTAAAGAAGGTATTTTAATATTTATAAACTATGCTTGTTTTCCTGTACAATATTTGAAATATACTCATTTCCTGTTGGGAAAAAGTGACCATTTTTATATGAAAAATACCCCAAAATTCTAATTATATGGTCAGAAAAATCTGTAGATTTAGGTAGTTACAAAAATCCAAAATTACATGTTAAATCCTCATCATATTTCTTAAGCATATAATATGCAATATTTGCTAATCTCCACCTTCATCCACTTTAAGGTACATAAGCATTTTACCTGATAGAGGATATAAGAAACCAAGGATGTATAATTTGGTAGCTAAAAGACACAGCATCTTGGCCCTTAGGTAAACCTCAAAGATCATCACTTTCACTCTTCTCGTCTTAGAGAGAAGGAAACTAAGACCTAAGAAGGTTAACTTACTTCCACAGGTCCCAAAGTTTGTTGTTTGGACATAGAGAACTGAATTTCATTATTTGTTGACAGCCTGGCTTTCTGTCACTGGCAATTCTAATAACAACTTTTTATTTGACCAAATAGTCAACATTCTCTCCAAGGCCCATTTTGAGCTAAGGGAAGCAGGACTGGCATACAGAAAATAATACATAATAGATTTTCTTGTCTAAGATTTATAATAATTACAAAGCTTCCAGAAGTAAAAGCAAACTTTATTTAAAAATTGGTTTAAAATAAACATTATTTTAAAATATTTATTTCCCACTTAAAACATGTTCTATAGATTCTTACAGAACTTGCAAGTTACAGTACTAACTTACCAAAAGTTGTTCCACCAGCTTCTTCACATTCTGCCCCATTTCTGGGGACTGTGATCCACTACATGCCAGTTTTATTAACATTGCAAGGAAGTTCTTACATTTCTTCACATTTTCTAGCATCGTCTAAATACAGAAATAAAACAAACACAAGTGTTAGCTAGAAAACAGAATTCAAGAAATTTGTAAAGAGCTGTATTTATATAAGGTGTGAGAGCTTACCGGAGAAAGATCAGTCTGAGCAGCTGCTGAGTTCTCTGCTTTAAGATTGGGCTCCTTTGAGGGGGCGGGTGATGCTCCCAAACTTGAAGGCTTCAGGGTAGTTACAGTATTCAACGGCTTTACAGGGGTAACTGTGACAACGTTGGTTGGTGCAGCCACAGACTGAAATTAAAAGTAGTATACATTTAAATATGTATTACTATGATATATATCATAGTTGGTGCCTCACCTAACACTTATCAGACTACAAATGGCTCCTGACATCTTTGTTTTTATGTTATGCTCCTCTAGTCTAAGGCAATGTAACACAGTTGTAAGAGCTCTGGACTCAAGCAGATCTGGATTTCATTCTCACCTACCCATCTACTTTTCATTGACACCTACTGAGTGTTGACTTCAGGGAAGTTACTAAATCCTGCTAACCCTCTGATTCCTGTGTGTAAAAAACAAGGATAGCAATGATACCTACTAACCTAGGGTTGTTTGTGAAAAACAGTGCCGAGCACAGAATGTTCAAAAAATATTATTAACACTTCTCCAAAAAGGATTTGAAAAAACAAGTCTTTATATGAAAACATAATTTCCCATTCTGTAATTTTCTGCTTTTTCTTAAGTACAAAGCAAAGAGATCTACTGATTATCTTATATTCAGATAAACTGCTTTTATGTAGACTACTATAATAAGCATAATGAATTTTACAAAATGCGGTTATCTTATTTTCATGCTGAAAAGAATCTTGTTTGTTTCTTCCTCCCTCTACTGAAACAAGGTGTGATTATAGCACCACCTTCAGGATAAAAAGTTTAATACAAGAAATCACAAGTGGGTAGTAATTTAGACAACCATATTGAGATAAAGCAACAGTCTTTATCCAATCTTATTTTAAAGACAAACACAAAGTTACAGGACATGAGTAAAATTTGGGAGTGAGGGAGAGAACAGTATTTACAACTCACGCAGAAAACCGAACATTGCGCCATCATTTTAATTTAAATGCTTGTGTCTATAGGCATTACAACACAAAAAGTTCAGGTTGCTATCATCTTCAAGAAAATTTCCTTCTGTAACAGTCAAGACAGGTGAATTTGAACGTGCACCAAAATTTCCCACTTTAGAAAGACTGGACTATGTTAAACAAGAAAGTTTTGAAGGTAAAAATGGGAATGAAATGAAAAACACTGATCAATGATGAAGACTAGAACTAATAATGAAATGTTAAGCAAAAAAGGTAAAATAAAAAATTGCACCTAAATGACTACAATTTTATTAAATATAAACAGGTCTTAAAGGCAATAATGAAATGAAGTCTCCTCCCATTCCTACACTTAGTCCTGCTCTCCAAGGACAACTACTGTGCAGTTTCCTCTGAATCCTTTTGGAGATTTTCTAATAAACTTTTTTAGGCTTATGTACAGTAAACAAATACTCTTTATTCAGTGAGTCTATTTTATACTCAGCCATTAACTCTTTGTAGTACTATATTAAGAATCTGTAACCTGGAACTTTGGCTGGTGGTTTTGATTACCTTTCAGGACTCACAGAAAGAGTTCCTCAGGGAAGTATTGTCTCTCTCTCTTATGAAGCAAAAAATAAGGCCCAGTGAAATGTGAGCTCAGGAAAAGTATCCTATTTTTGGGAGTAGAGGGAGCATTTATGACATTTCTACTTTCCTTGTCAATATTTTATTCTGTCTCTAGTACAAAATCTGTCCTTCAAAACTCTAATATATCTACTATCTGTACCTTCGCAGATACATGCACCTTCCATGACAATTCCACCTCTTAAAAGGCATGGAGAGGTACATAACCCCGTCTTTATCTACGTAATCCCACTGTAGTAATGGATGGACCGTCTTAAACTCAATCACAACTCTGCCTTAGATTCAATATTCTAGACTAGCCAGTGGTACTTCCATGCTTTGCAAGGCTGCAATGGCACTGATTAGGCATGTCTGGGGGACAGAATAGAAAGAGCTGGGGTGTGTGTGAAATGTATCTGTGAAAATCAGTTATACATAGAGCCAGTAAAATGAGTTGTATGCATATTTAGCAAATTAAACTGTATTTCAAGGAGGGTCGTTTTCTTTTTCTTTTTTTTCCTTTTTGTGAGGAAGATTAGCCCTGAGCTAACATCTGTTGCCAGTCCTCCTCTTTTTGCTGAGGAAGATTGGCCCTCGGCTAACATCTGTGCCCATCTCCCTCTACTTTATATGTGGGACGCCTGCCACAGCATGGCTTGATAAGTGGTGCGTAGATCTGCCCCTGGGAGCCAAACCTGAGAACCCCAGGCCGCCCCAAGCAGAGCATGCGAACTTAACCACTATGCCACCGGGCCTGGAGGGTCACGTTCTATACCTGTCTCAAAGGGCAATCACTTTGGGTTTGTTCATATTTAATTAGAAACACTAATTCTACATCCAATCAACTGCCCATTAGATTCCAACCTTAACAATGGGCCAAGCTATACCTTCATCATCAAATATAACATAAAACTGAACAAAGATTTCAAACTAGTTCCTGTTATGTTTACTAGAAGAGACCATGTTGTACTTTCAAAATTTCTTAACACAAACATTTGCCTTTATAGTCAAATACAAAGAATTCTATCTTCTCTCATTTCCAAGTTCTAGCTCCTTATTTCCAAGAAATGCCTAAAACTGAGGATGCTCTACCCCTTAAAATGGACAGATATTATTAACATGATTGTTTGATAATTTCTACCGCCTTAGCCAATCACTGGGGAGCAAACCAGCTTAAAATGTGCATTGATCTAAATGAGGAAAAGTTATAAACAATCCACATGGAAATATCAATGGTAGTCATTTATATGGAAAAATAATCCAAGGAAAAGAACTAAGCAACCCAGTATACCATTTTAGAATAACTGTATGTACTAAATCTTTAAGAAATAGATACAATGAAAAAATTGATAGACTCAAAGTACTGCTAAAATGATTAAAACCCTTTCATAAAATAATATAATCGTATTGTAAATTCTTAAAACTTCAGGTTTTCCTGATGCCTCAACATCCCACAAACAGGCTGTGAGCACCCCGCCCAGGTGACCATCAGCACCAGTGTGATAAGGTTGGTCCCTGCCATAAATTCTCCTTCCTGCCCTCCCCTGACTACGACCTAGTGACATTCAAATACACCAATGAAATCCACTCACGCCTTCTGCTTGTGTATTCCACACTTACCCCCAATAAAGGCACTTGCCCCCAGGGTATCACTCTCTCTCTCAGCTCCCCATCTGTGTGATTGAGCCCATGCCCTGGGTGCTTCTCCCATATGGCCCCCTGCATAGCGTGCCACACTTCCCTCTTCTAGGATAGGTGAGTATAATAAATCTTTCACTTTCATACACCTCTCTGTGGTATTATTCTGTGTCCACATCTCACTGATCATCAAAAAACCCCATTTTAAGGAATATTTCTTACAATACAACAGTAGATATCAGTAGCCCTAAATTCCTACCCTTTGCCCCAATAATCTCCTTAGAATTTATCCTAAGGGGGAAAAAAAACAACTAGAGTTTGAGATAATCAGTACAGAGGTCATTAAGAACAGAGTTTCCAGAGTCAGACAGAAATCTTGGATCAAAATCCCCCTTTGCCACACATACCAGAAATCATGCAAGTCTTGACCTTTCAAAACTGACTTTCACACATATAAAATGGAGATAATACTTCCTTATAGTCACAAGAATGAAAATGAGAGGATAGATATAAAGTCCCTAAAAAGTATCAAGCACATTAAGTGCTCAATAAATGGTAGCCATTAATTAAAAAAAAAAAAAACTCTATTATTAAAATCATATTCACCGCTCATTATCACTGTTAGAGGAAAAGAATAGGAGCATTGTGGTTAAATAAGTTTTCAAACACCAGAGAAGGTTTGATCTACCAGAATGGGATTTCACATAACATGCTCTAAGAAGATGCACCCTCTCTACAGCAAAGGAAGTGTGACAGTGGTCCCATGACCATCAGGTCCACTGACTGTATCATATACAGCATGACCCAGAAGATGCCAGCCCAGAAAGTATTAGAACAGCCTGCAGAAGCCACAAGGGAAGTGCAAACTCAGAAGCAATACTCTATGAAGATGGAATTCCATCCCCCATTTTATAAGACTCAGTGTACTCACTGAAGCAAAAAATTCTATATGGTACTATGTCCCTAATAGGACAAATATACAAAGAATAAAGGAATCAAGGAGTAAAGGGATAAATGAATCCACTTACCGTGACTCCCAAAGACCTACTGGCAGACTCTGTGCTTCCTGCTTCTGCCTACAGGGGGCACACTTTCACCAAAGGACATAGCAAGAGTCCCTATGAACTAGACGCTATGGCTGCCTCCTGGGTACTTCAAGTTCCTTGTGTCCAGGGACCAGCAGGAAAGAGAAGAGTCATTACCAAGACAGAGGTAATTGACTTGACATCTGGAAAGGTAGGCTGCTATAACAAAATACAGGCCAAGAGGAGTATATATGATGAATCCAGGTGATCCACTTAAGTGTCTCTTGGTATTTCCTCGCCCAACTGTGATGATAAATGGACAAGTATAGCAACTCTTGCCTCAAAAGGGCATGGTGATTAGGACCTCAGATCCCTCAGGGATGAAGGTCTGGTCATAATGCCAGTTAAGCTACCAAGACCAGGAGAGTTGGTAGTTGAGGGTGAGAAGAATCTAGAATGGATCGTGAAGGAGGAAGATGATGAGTATCAGCTGCAGCAGTGGAGACTGTAGTTCATCCTACTAACCTCTTCTTCTGTTTCCCCAAGGAGGAAACCCACCGGAATCTCAGAACAGCTGGCCTCCAACACGTATGAGGAAGTAGATCCCAATGATACAAGGAGGAGACTGTGATATACCAATACAAGGAGAGATCTGTGTTGTCCTAACTGTTGGCAATACTCTTAGATAGGCTTCAGTTGTCAGTTCCTTCAGGGTTTTCTCAGCCGCAGAGAATTACCTTGCCCAAGAGCACAGCTCTCCCCGGAGAGTCCACATCCAATGCCTGATCACAGAGGGGGAATTAAGGCCCAATTGACCATGTTGGCACACAGTGGGACAACTCTGACAGACCATATTTGTTCTAAAGTTCTCCACCAGGTCAGCTGAGGCTTTATTGGGCCTACATCTAGTGCTAACTCTTACTTACTCTCCTTCCCTTCTACAGGTATTGAACCCTAATAAATGTCCCATACACCAAAATTCTGTCCCAGCCCCTGCTTCTAGACATTGCAACACCTGGCTATTTGTATTAATTTAATACATGTAAGTAAAACTGATATCCCAAGAATATACACCATGTTTATCTGTTTCCCATACCTCCAACAGTTCCCAGTTTGATAAGTGTCATCATATATCACTGAATTGCTCTCTTCAGTGTCACAGTCAGCAACTTATACATTTGGCAGGAAATAGCTAAATAATAGACAGATGAGAGAATAAAACCAGTGCACACATGGCCACAAGTCAGTCACAACTTACTTGTACTGAGGAAGGCTTCGGAACAGTGGTTACCACAGTAGTTGCTATTTGTGCCACTTTTTTAACAGGTGCCACTGCCACTTTCTTGATTAACTGTGAACTGGAATTCTGGGGTGGGGGAAGATAATACAGAGTCATCAATGTTAGTAATTTAAAATCAATCAGTACTATGGCAAACATTAAAACACTTTACTATAGCAAACTTCTTTGCTATAACTGGCTTTATAATCTTATGGATTTTATATACATTCTCTACTACTATGAACTTAACTGGTCAATTGGCCAGTTGACATCATTTCATATTCCTAAGGAGGCAACTGACTTAAAAAATAAATATCACAATATTTCAGCATTAAAATCTTGAACTTTACTTTTTGGCTTATACAGAAAACATACAGATTCTTATTTAATATCTAATTATAAACAAAAATCTGCTAACCTATCTTCTCAACCCATAGCAGTTAAAGCAAACTAGACAGGGAAGGAGGAGCTATCATTGACAGATACAGTATTAGAGAGAATGACTGCTTGAGAACCTAGAATCAAATTAGGAGAGCACGAAACAGAAGGGAAAGGGGGAGTTCTGGCAGAGATGGTATTACCACAGAATACAATGCAATCTTTCATTAGGATGAGCCTGACTCAAGAAAATCATCAGCATTTTCTGTTTTTGTTTTTGTTTTTTTTTAATATTTTTATTTATTTTATTTTTTTTTCTTTTGTGAGGGAGATCAGCCCTGAGCTAACATCCGTGCTAATCCTCCTCTTTTTGCTGAGGAAGACCGGCCCTGAGCTAACATCTATTGCCAGTCCTCCTCCTTTTTTTGCCCCCATTTTCTCCCCAAAGCCCCAGTAGATAGTTGTATGTCATAGTTGCACATCCTTCTAGTTGCTGTATGTGGGACGAGGCCTCAGCATGGCCGGAGAAGCGGTGCGTCGATGCGCGCCCGGGATCCAAACCCGGGCCACCAGTAGCGGAGCACACGCACTTAACCACTAAGCCACTGGGCAGGCCCAGCATTTTCTGTTTAACCAAAGAAAGATGCCCATAAAAATATTTTTTTAACTCTGGCATAGAAGATAAGCTTCACTTACCTAAAAAGATTATCATGTATATAAAATAAATCATATTCTAATAATGCCAAATTAATGAAATATTACAGATTTCTGAATTTCTTAAAGGTAATTCCTGTAAGATATGAATAAAAATAAATACTATAAACGGTAGTCTTAATATTTTACACAAATTAAAATCGAAGCAGAATGGTTTCCTTTCCATTTGGAGATGCCAACAGCCCTTTGAACATTCCCTTGAGGACTACAAAACCTTTGAGTATGAAGACTGAATTTTTATTATTTCAGCAATTACCAAATGACAAAACCAAACATCTTGATTAAATTAACATATTCAAAAAGAAAGTAGCGTGATTCAAAAAGTTGAGCAGAATCATCTGTCCAATTATTTTTACTGGAAAATATACACATTTATATGAAGATAATAGCTGGAAAACTAAGAAAGATGAAAAAAAACTTGAAGGTATATTACCGGCATGGTACAGATTTTGACTGTCTGAGTATTCGCTGGTACAGGTGGCCTTGAAGTTATGTTACTTGTGGTCTCGGCTCTTGTTACAGCTTGCTGGGGAGATACCAACATCAACTGACCACTGTTACTTTTGATCAAAACTGTTCCTATAGTTAAAAGAAAAAAAAAGTGACCTTAGCTAATAAGCGTAGCATAATCATCATATATTTTCTTCTCCCATTTCTTTCAACACTGTAAAATGCTCTGAATAAGTGATTAGTACATACCAAATTCCATGTCTACTAATTATCATATATAACACGGGAAAAATGTTTTCATTCAAAGCTATTTAAAATACTTAAAGTCTAAGCATATGGCCACGATACTTCTAAAGAAGGCAAAACACTTTTCATGACATCAAACTATTCATAAAGCTACAATAAGTAAGATAGTATAATGGTAAGGGCACAAGACTGTACAAGCTTACCAATAGAATAGAATAGAAGAGAATAGAGAACCCCAAAATAGACTCATGCAGATATGTCATATTAAATTTTCCTAAGAGGGCCGGCCCCGTGGCTTAGGGGTTAAGTGCGCGCGCTCCACTGCTGGCGGCCCGGGTTCGGATCCCGGGCGCGCACCGATGCACCGCTTCTCC